ATTGATTGTGTGACAGTACTGACATACGGAACCATTGATTGTGTGACAGTACTGACATACGGAACCATTGGTTGTGTGACAGTACTGACATACGGAACCATTGATTGTGTTACAGTACTGACATACGGAACCATTGATTGTGTGACAGAACTGACATACGGAACCATTGATTGTGTGACGGTACTAACATACGGAATCATTGATTGTGTGACAGTACTGACATACAGAACGATTGATTATGTGACAGTACTGACATACGCAACCATTGATTGTGTGACAGTACTGACATACGGATACATTGATTATGTGATAGTACTGATATACGGAACCATTGATTATGTGACAGTATTGACATACGGAACCATTGATTGTGTGACAGTACTCACATACGGAACCATTGATTGTGTGACAGTACTGCCATCCGAACCATTGATTGTGTGACAGTACTGACATACAGAACCATTTATTGTGTGACGGTACTGACATACGGAACAATTAATTGTGTGACAGAACTGACATACGGAACCATTGATTGTGGGACAGTACTGACATACGGAACCATTGATTGTGCCATTGATTGTGTGACAGTACTGACATACGAACCATTGACTGTGTGATAGTACTGACATCCGGAATCATTGATTATGTGACAGTACTGACATACGAACCATTGATTGTGTGACAGTACTGACATACAGAACCATTTATTGTGTGACGGTACTGACATACGGAACAATTAATTGTGTGACAGAACTGACATACGGAACCATTGATTGTGTGACGGTACTAACATACGGAATCATTGATTGTGTGACAGTACTGACATACAGAACCATTCAGTGTGTGACGGTACTAACATACGGAACCATCGATTGTGTGACAGTGCTAACATACGCAACCATTGATTGTGTGACAGTACTGACATACGAACCATTGATTGTGTTACAGTACTCACATACGGAACCATTGATTGTGTGACAGTACTCACATACGGAACCATTGATTGTGTGACAGTACTCACATACGGAACCATTGATTGTGTGACAGTACTCACATACGGAACCATTGATTGTGTGACAGTACTGCCATCCGAACCATTGATTGTGTGACAGTACTGACATACGGATACATTGATTATGTGATAGTACTGATATACGGAACCATTGATTGTGTGATAGTACTGACATACGAACCATTGATTGTGTGACAGTACTCACATACGGAACCATTGATTGTGTGACAGTACTGCCATCCGAACCATTGATTGTGTGACAGTACTGACATACAAACCATTGATTGTGTTACAGTACTCACATACGGAACCATTGATTGTGTGACAGTACTGACATACAGAACCATTGATTGTGTGACAGAACTGACATACGGAACCATTGATTGTGTGACAGTACTGACATACAGAACGATTGATTATGTGACAGTACTGACATACGCAACCATTGATTGTGTGACAGTACTGACATACGGAACCATTGATTGTGCGACGGTACTGACATACGGAACTATTGATTGTGTGACGGTACTGACATACGGAACCATTGATTGTGTGACAGTACTGACATACGGAACCATTGATTGTGCGACGGTACTGACATACGGAACTATTGATTGTGTGACGGTACTGACATACGGAACCATTGATTGTGTGACAGTACTGACATACGGAACCATTCATTGTGTGACAGTAATAACATATGGATCCATTGATGGAACTGTGTTTTTTTTTAGTTTTGTTACTGTCACCGAACAATCTTTTCCTTGGAAGTTTCTCGGATGATCATCTGCCAACACATCAACTCCTACACGGCAGATATAGATCTCTGATAGTATTATTGGTTATTACGGTTATACATTAACGTACCTGTATCACCGTAAGTGGGACAGTAATGCTAGATGTAAACACACCAATGACTGTGTAAAAGCTATTCCTTGTACCAATTATATGGTTCCTATGTGTGCTTATTTGTACTTTACCTTTAAACCTCTGGAAAAAGAAAAGAAAAAATAAAAAATAAATTAAAACTACGCATGGATAGTTATTTCTATCGGCATAACCTGATATAAATAATCCATTAGACGTAAGACTTTTGTTACAATATACTCTAAAAATTGGGTAATAAATGTAAACAATTGGCAGATAAGCTATCTGAAACATTCAATAAGATGCTAACAAAGGATGCGGATCAGAGGTATTTGTGAAATTTTAGGACCACAAATTAACAACAGACAATCTCAACGAAATACGATAAATCAATAATGATGAATAATGTAATTATACAAATCAAATGGTATTTACTATGTTTAATAATGAGGTGGTACATAAAAAATGTATAATTGATTAACTCGAATATACGAAACTATGGCATACCTGTCGATGAGCATAAACAGTTTTCGGCAAGGAAGTCATCCACACAAAGTATTTTGTATCCTTTCCATGAGTTACTAAAAAATAAAATCTATAAATTACTTCGTTACACAAATGTGAATATGAAATAGATGTTATCATATGATATTTTAGTTTCAAGAAAAATACGAAAGTAAGCACTCGAGAACAAAACGGTATACGTCTCTGCATATGTTTAGATACTGAGGTTCGTTTCCAAAATTAATGAAATACCCAATCAAAATGTTGTGTACGGTCGACAATAAATACAGTAAAACCTCGATATAATGCCCCTTTCTTATTTTGCCAGATCGTTTACCGCAAACACATTTCAATTTCCCTTTTCCCCCGTTTTCTTAAGAATTTCGTTACACGTTTATAGCACCAAACCCCTTTATAACGCTAACATTTCTCTAGATAAAAAATGGTGACAGCATAACGAGGTTTTACTGTAGAAGTCTACCGCTACCTGTATGTGTAGGCGCATGCGCATGGTAGTGTTCTTCCTCTTTGTTCGATATTTGCCTTTGTCCACCGTGGAGACACATTTAGTCACACAATCGGTCGATACCATCTATTTTCCCGATCTGTATTGTATCCGTACGTTCAAAGCTGTGCGTACGAACCTGAGCTGGTAACTAAATATTTGTATAGTGGGACAGAATCGGTAAATGGTCAACACAATCACCCATTGACCATATTGGCTACAACGTATACACAAGATAGACTACTGGTTTTGTAAACATCTAGTACATTGTACCATTGACGAGGCCTAGTTATTCCGCTTACGTGGAAATGACATTTCAATGGTTGGTTTTATGACACTGTCGTATTATTGTCAACTATGAGTGTATGTCTGAACGCCGAGCCGTTGTCTTGTCTACATGATAATGACTAAATACACATCACTTTACTACAGGAACATATATAGCTTATCTACAGGTTTATGGGGGACAAGGACTTAATATTTCATAAGCAGTTTTAATTGACAGAGAAAAAGATGTGACGGGAAAATACACAACGTGTCATCAAAGGAAAAACAAGAAATGTGCTCGACTAGGATTCTAACCTAGAAATCGAATACAGGTCGCCCGAGTTGTTCCGTCCATAGTCGTTCCGACCTTAGTAGTTCCGGCCCCTACCCGGTCCGACCCCGTATTCTTAGTCGTTCCGTCCCCATAATAATATTATATATGATTCATGTTTAAAATTTAATTCCATTTTATTTTATTTACATATTGTATAATTGATTTTACTAATTCAAAGAAATAAAATTAAAAATTAAAACAAATATCACATTGTACATTTGTTGTCTTTTCATTTTACATGTTTGTTGTCTAAAATAAACGGCAAAATACACCTTAACATAGACTAAAATTTTCAAAAAGATTTCATTATTATTTTCTTCTTTCCATTTTACGATTGATACAGACGGCCCATGCCGTTCATTAAAAAAAAAAAAACATATACAAGTGTATATGATTAAAAGAATCTTGAACAATTTAGTGTGTGCTTAAACATACTACGCCACTGCCTTTATTGTTATAATTGATTACGCATTGGTTATATATATATTACCATTTAGTAATAAATATTACCATTAGATATATAAGTTATAAATATAACGTATATAATGGTAATATGTGAAGGAAAACACTTCAGTGAGGCCGGATCGACTAAGGGGTCGGAACGGCTTTGGGGTCGGACCGGGAGAAGCCGGAACGACTTTCAACACGGTCACGCGTCAATGAACTCTACTACAATTGTAGTTGTGTCAAGTTAGCCATACGTAGTGACCATTCCAAACAGGGCTGTTCCTTATAAAACACATGCCTTTTTCGTTAAATTAATAGAGTTTATCTATAGCTGACGTCATACCAGTTGTATTAATTTTACGATGAAGGTGTAAGTTGTTCAAATTATGGCGTTCTTATGATGACAATTCATACATTATATACTATAAGGAACAGATTGTAACACACACACACAGATATAGAGAACATGATTGATTTGTTTGGGTCATCTTGATAACCATAACTGAAACCAGAATCTCCGTGAGGGAGGTAAAAAAAAAATAACTTCCTGTGTTTAATACAGTCCAACCAAGATACACATTAATTTCAACGTGTACGTCGAACTGAGAATGGAGTACTTACAGGTCACTGCGAATAAAAGCCAACAAACTCCGAGTAGAGCCACGAGAACCAACATTAGATATCGTGTCCTGCGAGTCCAAGGTTGATCCATGCTGTTTGACATAACGTGACATTAAAAAGTAACGTACGTATGTTATACAAAGCTGCTCTGAGAGACGCTATGAGAGAATTAACGTGTATGAAGTGGTTCATACACCTACCCAGGTAAGGTTCAATACAAACTAATTATTTCTCCATAGTATATAGTGTTAACGACATCGACTGGCTAGTTCCTTAACGATCCGTCGCGGTACCGATTTGTAATATATACTTTTCATGACCGTGACATTTCAGCAATCAATCCTTATATAGCAGAATGGTGAACAAACTTGCGCACAATATTTTAGCCCGAAGTTTTAAATAGGGATTACATTATAAATAAATAATAGTTGAGTCCCATTGAATAAGTATTGCTCTGTGTGGTCACGACTCCAGTTATTTTTAACTCCCATATACACGAAATTGCCTGTCGCCGCTTATTGATTTACCCGAAATTTTATCTCAGTTCACAAATCACAATTAGTAGTCACCAAATTACTTCAGTGAAATACCATAAATGTGTCTCTGAAATAGCAGTGAAACACCTGTCATACTTGATAACTGTGATAACTGAATGCTATGACGCGTTACGCCATGTTACCATGGAAACGGCCGGTATGAAATACTCGGCTACATTTCTATCATGACTGAAGGTTATGCCGCGTTATCGAATATTTTTGATAAAAGGAATATGTCTTTTTCCAAAAAAATGATCGTTGGGTTTCAATGGTTTAAATTGACTTCCATATGCTACTATTTTGGCACGCTAGACACTATATAGTATTGAACTAATTTCCATCAAATAAAACAACATGTTTTAATTCGTATTTATTTACAACTATACACTTACAATCGAATCCAAAATTTTAAATCAATGATATTCATTATATTTTTGGCATGTCTGTATGTAGAAGGTGTATATAAGTTTAAACAGTTTGAACATGTTTGTTTTTCATGTTTGAAAGATAGGTGTGTCGAAAATGTTTCGTTATTTCCAATTTTGTTTTCGAACCTAAGACGGGGAGCGGAAACTTTAAAATTCGGATGTTTGATGATTTAGTTATTGCCGACAACTTTAAATCCTTGATGATTTGACAGAACTGATATAGCCGGATATCCGAAATAGATAATTTTACACAAATGTCCGTGTCAAATTGAATTTATTAAACAAGCTCAAAAATTTGATATGACATGAGCCTTTAACATTCATCATTTGAAAAAAGACCCACTGCAAACACGATTGTGTGTTATCAGCTGACTCTATAATAGGTAAAAACCAAAATACTCCCGTCATGGTGTTGTCGTTCCGCGTAGTGCATATCTGTTACAGATTATTTTTATGGTGATCCGTTTCAAGTTTAATGAAAAAAACAAAGTAATAATTACAAAATAAACATTTAAGATGCATTTGAATAACAATAAATGTTTCATGTTGTGTAATCGATAAAAGTAGTAACTGTAGCGGCGTAAGAATATGTTTTATTACACGTGTGCAATACCATATCTATGACATGGCCGTATGACATTGTAAAATGGGTCAGTTATGTGATAAACCTGATTTATGTCAGTGACAGCAATAATACACAAAAATAACAATAAATATACTTTTGGTATGTGACAACAATTTCAAAGAATGTGCGTCGGTACTTACACAGATATGCGTTCCATTGGTTAAAAACATCAACAAGTAAACGTATTTCAATAGTGTGACATACTTAGCTTTAACAAGAGAACGTACAAGGGTATCTGTATTATTATTGGTGTAGCAGGATTACATTCAAGGAATGAGGACATATCCTCAATGACACAAGAACCAATAGTAGTTTGACGGTCATTACTTTGCTATATCTTTCAAAAATGGTCTAACAGTATCATTACATAGCTTTATTGAAGCTCGTATATATATGAGGAACGGTCTTACCCACACAGTTTCGTGGACGGACGGGCTCACCGGTTATTTATTGTTCGTCGTAACATCGTCCACATTGATAAGCTGGTGAACTTTCTAATTTCTGGTCATAGCGTGTTCCAGATTGTAATATGGATGCACTCTTTCATCCATTTGCGGGTTCCGATATGGGGCTTTTAATCTGTAAATGCATTTTCATTATGTATTACGATTCTCTACTTCTTCTCGCGTGTGTGTTGTCCCCTCCTCTCTTTCAATTTCTTGATTCTTTTACTGTATATATTCGAACTTCTTCACTGCCGACACAATGCGATGCTCCAATTATATCTTAACTCCTCGGTCTGTTCTTACGTTGTAATATCAACAGTAATCACCACATCCAGTTTATAATCGCTTGGATGGCGGAGAGTGAAGTGTAAGCTCTGATCTGTGTGTGTTATTTCCGATATCTCTCCTCCTTCGTTTAAAATTACTTTGAGGTTGCATCAAGACATCAAGTTCTTTCTTAATAATCACTCACCACGTCATCAACAGTTTCTACTCCTGCTTAACGCTCAGCAAATTAGGAGTGGGACGACTGGTTCGCCCGTTGTCAGTATAATGTGACCGGGTGGGGCGTTCTGCTGGGTGTCTTCGGCAGTATGTTTCAGTGAGGTAGCACTATAAAGTCGGCATCAGTTCCGCGCTGTTCCCCCCNACAGTCGGGGACAGAGAGCTAGCTACTGTCGCTGAATTATACGCGAGTGTCTGTTGATGCACATTTTAGAAAGTTTGTAGTGATCGCAATGTTTTCTAGCAATTCCATAACGATATTACAATGCACTTTGGTTCTACTCTGGTATCAGGCTGATTTACGACGCCTTGTTCACCACTATGGTAAATAAGGGGAAGTAACTCTCCCTGCACTTTAGGTTCACCGGTGACCAAAACCACACACAAGATGTATAATGCAGTGGTTTGTAATACCGGAAGTTGAAGAATTCTTTCTGAATTTGTGACCAACATTTAAATGTTTTCCTTGGCACCTACACTATTTACAGTTGTCATACATGTATATGTTGTCCCAGTGTCGATCAGGAGGATCAGACTAAAGTTGCGATAATTTGTCATTAAAATTCCATTTGCCTCTTATTATTGAAAACAAATTTAACGCTTACATATATTTCCTGTTAAATGAGTTTTTTTTAACGAGTAGTACCATTAGCATATGACGATAAATGCAAAGCCATACGTGTCATGCACACTGTCATTACAACATAGGTGATTTATACCACAAATGGTGTATCAGCAATTTGCTATGAGAGTGTATAATTATACTTGACTCTATGACATTTATTTAATATGCATATTCTACAGTAATATATTATTGATTTATACATGTAGCAATTACGTAGTTACATTGAAAGTGTACTTTTTATGGTGTTACATTGATAACAAGGGTGAACAGTTCATTGATGATTGACAGTGATCATGATTGTGTAGATATTTTAGTGTAGTTTATTATTTAACATATATGTGTATACGTACCAGCTGTATTGTTACAGGCTACGGAACACTTAAATGGCCATCTGTATGATGACACATCAAACAAGTCATAGGAACGTCACACACAAACATATCACTGTATGTATGACCTATATATCTACTTCTAGTAAAATGTATACGTAACATGAATAGCTTAACAGTAATGTAATATAAATGTTGACAATATGATAGTTCACTTAGCTACATACACACTACATGTGTACATATGCTACTAATTGTTGGCTTCAGAAAAAAACAGATTTGCATTTCCACTACAAGTTCCTTTATAAACATTATCAGAAGAAATAGCGTTCATAGAGCTTAGTCTCGTTCAACCAGACGCTTGATCACAATTCAACCTCTGTTTAGTCTCGTTCAACCAGACGCTTGATCACTTGTAATTCAAGAGTCTGGTCACACACAGTGCACTAACATTATCACCACCAGAGGGCAGTATTTCTACTTTCGTTTCCGGACGTTATGTCAACGCCATTAAACATTTCAATGAATAACGAAATTATTGAAAAAAGTTACCTATACATGCACTCCTGAAGTACCCGTGTATTCACTTTTATCGAGAACAATGTAAGAAAATGTGTCAAATCTCCAGAATAATGCCATATATTTCCATTGAATAAATCATAGCTAAGCACAAAGCCAACAAGGCTGACTGAAGTTTGAAAAAAGCATGCAAAGCAAGTGAGATTTTACCTGTACACCATGCAAAACACCTTCAAGTTCTCACTGAGGTAGTCTGGCTTGACTTGTATCAATAGCCTTGTTAGCTTTATGAATTAATGTAAAATATCCAATGAAAATACATGAAATCATTCTTTTTGAAGCATTTTCTTACATTTTTCTCGTAAATAGTTAAAACATGGATACTTCAGGAATGCATATACAGGTAATTTTTTAATGAATTAAAATATTTAATGTAATTTTGGGCCACTCATATTCTGACTTCAAAAGTTAAAAACGGTTTGTCAACCTTTGACCGATGAAAAAAATTACCAGAATCTCGGTAAGCCTCGTTATGATGTCACAAAACGAAAGCACTGGGTTTGACCAGACTCTCCATTCGGCGTAGCTTGCGCAGGCAACAAGAGTCTGGTTGAACGAGATTAACGTAGAGCTACGAACGCAATTTGATCAACGTCATTTTGAAGCTTCTCCTCCCACCTCGAATAACATGCGACAACCGTTAGAAACAAACATTTTGGTGACATTACGCTGTTCCAAGCTGCACTGACGAAACAGACACTTAAATAAAAGATGCAAAGAAAATATTTAAATTCAGGTAAATAATAACTAAAAAACTAGAATGTAAATATAAGGATTGAATGGCATTTTTCCAATGTTCATGCCGGTACATGTACATTGTATGAGCACAAATCTGTTACATACATATTTACTATGAGGGTGTGGAATATGTTTATGTATGTACATAACAGCATGAATATGAAAAAAACGCCGTTCAATCTTTATGAAGTAAGATTACAACTGCTGCTACTGATTCGTCGGTATTAAGGTCTGTATCCTCAACTCCAGTTTATGACGGATTGTTCTTGTCGATGTATTTGGACAATGTTAAATGACAAAAAAAACACTTTTGTTATCAATTATTGCTGAGATCAGTTACAATAACATGGCCATCACATGTATGACTATACCAGAAATATTGAACAAAATTATGAAGGCGGGGGTGGATATTGAGTTACCTTAATGAGCTGCTGCCACGTGAGTTTGTAGTATAGTATTTAAGATACAATGTGTTTTAAAATGTGTGTAATGAACTAATGATCAAGAATAGCAGATATCTTTGTTGTTGACTATGTCCGGAGCCTTGTTTGCAAAATTTGTGCACGAATAATTAACAAACGAGCTGACAAGGTTAAAGGTAATCGGTACGGGGATCTAGAACAACTTATAAATTACAATCTATCTGATAAGGTCACAACATGTATACTTTGGTGAAAACAAAATATAAAAGAAAATTTCATTAACGTACACTCGACATACAAGCGGTTTTATTTTTTTCTTAATGAAAATAAAAGTCCGATTAGTGTAATAGTAAGTGTGAAACACTACTGCCGTAAATAGGTCATATCCTATGACATCATTTTGGATGACCCACATTTTAACAAACAGAAAGCCCAGAACCATGCATGGATTAGTTTTTTTTTTTTCATTTGAAATTTAAAAAGGAAAAAAGCATGCTAAACAGGTTTTTTTCTTCATATAAGCCATAGAGGTGCACGTGATTAACCGTCAAATGAATCCAGCTTTCTCTTATATTATTTAATGAGGTGTTGAAAACCATAGGTGATCACACGTTGCGGAAAGGGTGGATTAAAATAAAAGAAACTGTTTTGCATTAATTATGCATTTTTACCTAGAAAAAAATAGCACTGATAGAAAAACCTGAATTAGTTGATTTGTTAAACATTTCATTAAATTCCTGTTCATACCCAAACATTTGAAAATCCATGCTGTACGTTTTTGCTAGCTGTGAAAGCGTGTGCTTTGGTATCCTTTTAAATGTTTCGAGAAATATAGTATTTTGTTGTTGTTTTAATCCTTGACGTCCCAGCTCCAGAACAGATTTTGAATATGCGCCTTTAAATATTTCAAACACTGTTGCTTCCTTTTTGTAAAACAGATTGCTAGGTACGGGCAAATCAGCGGCAATGAAACCCCTAGCTTTAAGTTTTGTCCATATTCTCTCAGCGGTGTTCTGTTTTGAGGTACATTTTGTGGCTACGCCACGCATGGATACGTACGCCTGAGCTGTATCGTATAACGCATCATTTACGGCGTCGATGGAGATGTTACGCAGTACTGCTTTGTAAGGTTCTAGGTTTAACTTATCCAGAATATAATTAGTGTCGTCTTTGAACGTTTCCATTTTGCCTATGATGTCATACTTGACATGACACGGGGAACACGACTTCCATAACGAGAGCACGTGTACGTCCACGTGTTTGCCTGTAGTCTCGGCATGAACGGCATATTGGAGGAATTCTGGGAATGTCACGTCATGTCCGCAAGTGGTTTTTGAAGTGTTGTCCCTAAATGTTTTTACTATATAGGTACCTAGGACATCCCAGTAGAATGGGTTTGGGGAAAACACTTTATCAACATAGGCGGAATATAACCGCTCTAAAGGATCACGAGCTATTATGAACTTTGTAGAACGTCTTAAAATTGCATCAATATGTTTCCATTCATTGATTGTGGGAAACACGTTGGTCACTCCTATTTGAGGTTTTATATGGTAAGGACTTGCTATCCGATGTTTGTCTATTTGAAGCAAAAGTCTTCCCCAAAACGTCGACCCCGCTTTAGTTGCTTTACAATACAGGAAGGGTTTGTTTCTATTATAGACCATGTGGTGTCGGTTCGGAAGATTGTAAGTAGAATTTTTCTTGCACATCTTCATTACAGCTGTTTTCCTTTGAATCATTACGAAGTCAGTGCTCTGTAAAATAAGAAAACGTAAAAACCATATAACATATAATTAACATGATTTTCGTGGCAAAAGGAAAAAAATATTTTCCAACGCAGGGGTCACTTTTTGTTCAAATTAAATCGATAGAATATAGAAAAAAATCTTTGCTAATAATTATTAACAGTTAAATGAATTAGAGTAACAGAAATTTTAACAAGTTCCTTGAATCCATGAAGGTAAACAAATAGGATAGGCTACAGTTGTATCATAAGTATATATGGACACCTTTTGTGTAAAATTTACATCAATGCATTTACAACAAAATCATAACCAAATATTATGATGAGGACTGTTATCAATGATAAAGAATAAAAGGTTAAATAAAACTAAGATAATTATATTTGTTCTCAAATAAAATGAAATTACCGTACCAGAATGTTTGAAGCTTTGTCTAACATCCGCTGCACATGCGAGGTTTTTTTCACGGGTATCTTCCTCTGCATGTGTGGTATACCCTCAACATGTGTTACTGAGGAAAAACAGACATGAAAATAAAAACCGGAAACGCATCAAAATCAACAGAAAAGGTGTCACTGGAAAATTTGAGGAAAACCATAAACAAATTACAGGTAAGTGGGTTTGACTCAACTCCCGGGGTTCATTGTTTCATTTCATTACATTCGTACTACTAAATACGTTTTTTGTTGTTTATGCGATACGAAACATTTGCTCTTATCCATATCAGCCCTCGCCGTATCACACCCAAAAACCGTATCAGCCCTTTCCGTATCAGCCCGCAAAACCCGTATCAAACCCCTTTTTTGAACACTTCTAATTTTTCCCATCTTCATAGATCATAAGATAGTAGATCTATCCGTATTTTATTAGTAAGTATGTAATAAACAGAATAAAATGTGTTAGAAAATGTGTTATTCTCTATAAATGACCAGTTGAATGCGTGGTCGATATCATCTATAAGTATTCATCATAACTTGACTGCTACATTAATTATGTGTAGTAACTCTTCAAAATATTTGGCATATCATGTGAGACAAGTTTAGAGTTAAGTGCTATATAGTCAAATCTGAACTCCAGCATTTATATTAAATCGTAAGTCACAATGGTGTAGGTGGTCTTTGTAATAATATACTTATAAAACAAAAGTGAATCAATAAATAAGAAAATCATTCAGGGACCGAAAATGGAGTGCGTTTTATGATCTGGTATCCCTTTAATTAACAATCACTAATACTAACCATTGGTTTCATACAAATCTTTCATACTTTTCAGGAGGAATTTTAATAAAACTTAAATGGTGTAAATAGCAAGAGAAAAAGAATGCACACAGTCTGCATTACCTTGCTTCAATAACAGATCAAGGGAAACATGAAATGGATGCTTCAAATATTTAAAGGGACATGAAGAAATACTGATAGCATTCATAATTTCGATTGATGGAAGAAGCCGGGGTACCGTGAAAAAGCCCAATGTGCTATCAAAGGGGATGCTGGAAAACTCTACTGGCTTATCAACGGGTTTAATTAACTAACATAAACGGTGATCTCACATAGGTCACAAGTCACGCGTCAATGCTTTTTCAAGTTATATCAAGTGCACTAGACTGTCAGGTTAAGGTACGCCCATTATATACACGTGTGTACCAACATTTGTGTATTAACAATCCCTGTCCAACTGCACTGTGGTTTGTCCAATATACAGTAACCTCCCCTTAACTTCCGTTTTAATATAACTGGAGATCAGAACAATTGGGTCAGAACAATGTTAGTATGTCATATATACATGTAGTAATGTTAGTTTGTCGTTATATATAGTAATGTTAGTATGGCGTTATATATAGTAATGTTAGGATGTCGTTATATATAGTAATGTTAGTATGTCGATATATATAGTAATGTTAGTATGACGTTATATATAGTAATGATAGTATGTCGTTATATATAGTAATGTTAGTATGTCGTTATATATAGTAATGATAGT